CTTTTAGGTGGTAGACCAAAATACACACCTATATCCATTTGCTTCATTACCTTTGTAGAAGTCTGTGTTGCACTGCACTGAGAACCAGATGGCAACATTTTCAAAGACTTAGCAGAAGTCGCTGTACTCGAAAATGGCTCTGTATTTAACACTGTAACCTGACTGTCTCGCATACCACCTAATGCCTTTCTGCAGGAACATGCTGAGGTAGCATTATTCTTAGTACTGAGGCTCTTGCTTGATAACTCTCTGATTTTACTTTGGGTTGGATGGGAAGAAAGACACCCTCCTCGGGCCTGGCTTTCAAAAGGTTTTGGCATTTTACTCTTAAGTAGTGGAAGAGAAATGTGATTGTAAACAGCTGATGCTTCAATTATCTGTTCCTGTTTATTTGATGGAGAGGCATGAACTTTTGGCTCATCGGGTTTTGCTGTAGTGGCTTGACAACTAGAAGAAGCAAGTCCCCCTGCCAGTGCAGGTGGAAACAGCAAGAAACCATCATCAGAATATGCCGGATCATGACATAAAATAATACCCTCACTTGGGAAAAGAAGTTGAGATGGATCATTCAGAGTGCTGTATGTATACAATTCTTCATTGTATCTCTCTTGAGTGAAGAAGCTATTCATTTCGGAGCCACTCTCCTGCTGACTCCTCAGTAAGGGACAGTGGGCATTTTTTAAAAAAGTACAGCTGCTGTCATCTGCTTCTAGGCTGCCATCTTTAGAGCTTTCTGCAAAAAACAGCTCCTGTTGTGAATCATCCAGCTTTTCATCTATATCATAAGTTTCTTCATCACTTTGAAGAGGAGAGTAGGAGATTTCACAGTCGCTCAAGTCATTTTCTGGCCACAGCAAATTGGTGTGTCCTGAGTGGTTCTGGCTGTCTAATCTTCCGGCAAAAGGCAAACCAGCTCCTACCAGTTTGCCATCGTTAACACCTTGTGCAGCTTGTGGAGCGCGTTGGGACGTTTGGATATTTGTTGAAGAGGAAATCTTTTTCTTGGTTTCAGGTGGAGACTGAGATTTTTTTAGACACTGTGTCACGAACAAGGGATCAATTGAAACATGCTTGAAGTTCTCAGTTTGTTTTTGATCCGGAGACCAACTTTCCTCAAGGCTACAAAGAAAGCCCGAGTTAGTCTCACTGAAACTACCGCCTACCCCATGGGCTGGACTGCTAAGAGGACTATGACCAGCCCTGCTCTGAGCTAGCAGGAGGTGAGTGTATTTCTTGTAATGAGAAGGAATCGTCGAGGTACACAGAAGACCATCAGGACACTCTGAAAATTGTAATAAAGAAAAAAAGTATTACAGTGTCATAGCACAGACTACATTCTGACAGTATCAACGGATAAATCAACACATAAATGTAGTCATCAGCCCCATACTGACAATAGCTCTTAACACAAATCAAAAGATTAGCATAAAATAACAGGAACCCAATATGTTTTTGCAAAGTGCTAGTTATTATTTTTAAATCAAACAAATATGAGCTCCTTTAAAATCCACATCATCCTTACATTACATATTTCTTAAACAGGTGCTACAAAGTGATACCATCACTTTCACTAGCTCACTGTTGCTCAGGCAATAAAGAATAGAGAAGACCGATATATCTCTCAGAACCAGAGTTCTACTCCCATTTTTCTTATGGAACAACACAGATGTATGGCAATTGGAGTAACGAATTAGCTTCCATTATTTAGTAATAACAATCTTAATTAGTTATAGCTGTTCAAACCCTGGGCCATTTAGATTCTGTTCTAAGATTAGAAATTCAATTTGATACACTGATTAATGATGATCTGGAGACAGTTCCCCACCATACCATTGTGATTGGGTAACATTCTGTAAACCATCTTGGCATATACCCTTGTATGTTTATTTCCTGGTTTATTAAATAGAGACCCCCTGCCCCCAAGGGTGTTCCATTAAATTAGAAGACTTCTTTGCTCAAAACTTAACTTAAAACCGCCTCATTTGTTATAGAGTTCAATTCAAGAAGAGTCCACCTGAAACTATCAAAAGTTTAGTCAGAAAAAAAAAAGGTAAATATCTTTGAGGTGGTTTCATCTACAAGTCATTTCACCCTGAGGTGTTCACCATGGGACTCCAACTTCCATTTCTGGATTTCAAGCCATTGAAAAGCAAATTACTAGCATTTGGTGAGGTTTTCAGTTGCTATTACTTTTATAAGAACGGCTAATGACAAATTTTAAGAGTTCTTTTGCATCTTCATGCAGGACTTTAAAATGACAGAAGTTAATAAGAAAATGGCTTTTGAATCACTTTTATCATGAAAGCCATACTGAGTATTATTTTTACTTTACTGAATTTTAAATCTTTGAGATTTAAAAATCTGTATACTGTATACCTAACTTTAAAATACACAAATCATCAAAACCCATTTTCCATATGCTCCAAGTTGAAACTCTATCTTTTAAACATGACGTTTATTAGAGATTTTAAAAGATAAAAACACTGATTACCAATTGGCACATTTTTATCATTAGAACTTAATAACCTGAGGCTCCTTCCCAGTTCCTCTTCCTGAACATTCGCATGATGCAGCCAACATAACCACAGTTAGAAGAGTGGGTTATAGTCATAAGTCTCTAAAACTCTGCTTCATAAAAAGATAACAAAATGGACAAGTTGTTTAACTTTTAAGAACTCTCATCTAGGAAATGTCAATACCACCTACCTGTGCAGTTGTTGTGAGTCACATGAAGCAAATGAAAGTATCTAGCATATGTGCTCAATCAGCATTTATGAAAAATAATTGAGATGTTTAAGGACTTCTATAAAATAAAATTCATTTGGACTGTTTTCAAGTTTGCGATTCTTTACAGTTATACCTTTGGCTGTTGTATTTTTACCTTCTCAGGAAGAGTACACATGCTTTTATCTTGTTTGCTTCTAGGGTTAGAGTGTCTCCTCTCTCCGTTTATTGCTTCCCTTCCTTGACTGGACTGGTATGTCTGGCCTACCGCAGGTCCATTTAAAGACCGCTATCTTTTACTGTACTCTTACCTGTTCCGGAGAGTGGCGGAGAATCCAAACACTCAAAGACATGCCATCGAGGTGTTTGACCTAGTAACGCGGAAAAAGGCATCTGGCAGTTTGGGCAGTATCCATCGTACACTGGACGGATCTTTGGAGACACCTGTTTGGTTTTGTGAGCCCTGCAGTGCTTTCCTGGTGTGGTCTTGCCTTGGGATTGCTGGGTACCATCTCCACAACTCGAATCCTGACTAGAAGCTGTAGAAGTCTGACTACCTGTTACTCCAAGGCACACCTCAGGGTCCTCTGCCTTCTCTTTAGCTTCCACAGTTTTTCTTTTATTTCTGCTACGCTTTGACCGGTATTTGCCATCTGTTGCTTTTCCTACAGATTTTGGAATATTCTCAGGGCAATTATTTGCATGTACTGGTTTTGGTTTCCTTTTGGATTTGTATTCCCAGATGTCTTCTTCCGAAAAAGTGTCTTCTAACATGGCAAAATAATTTTTATCATTAAAGAAGCACTAATCTTAAGTACACGGAGAGTCTATTTGTTGTTACAAAAATTTTTCAATGAAATTATTTTACTGGGGAAAATAAAAACAACCTAAAACACTGACTAACTTGATGGGAATCTAAAGGTCTGGTAATGAGTATATTGGCAAACTATAAACCTTATACCTGAGACCACCTACTACAATAAAATTAAGAGAAACTACCATAGGGGTAGCATCTGAGAAGTTTTCTATTTTTTTGTGTGGCTACTATTTCATTCACACACTGGGCCTTTTCCAGGGCTTGATTCATAAAAATAAGAATCAGTAATACTTTGAAAATTAAGCATTAATGGGAGCCTTCGAACAAGCTTTGCAAAAGCGTTATAAAGCTGCTATCAGTTCTCTTTCCACTGGACAACTGTCCAAATAATTCTCAAATCCACCGACAGTCCTTGCGCAATTGGTTCGGCAGGTGTTGCAAACACTCAATGGCTACCTCAGTTTGCTCATTAAGACGAGTCACCCCATAATCAAAGCAGTGTGTGGTTCCCAGTAAACGTAATTGCCCTCGTCCATGACGCCTGGATATTCAACAACTCTGGCTTCCTGGGTCAGTCCACCGTCTTCCCCCGGCGGCAATGAACAAACTCTGCACGATAAACAAACATCCAAACACGTGAAGTCGTGCTTGCCTGCACGGAGGCCACCCTCCTAACTCCAGGCCACAGGGGTGGTCCGCCCTGGAGGCGGCAAGACCTCTCTCCACCAGCCTCAGAACAAGGTTCACCTGCCCATGGCCTCCCGCGGGCTCTACCTTCCCTGGGCGCGCGGGAGGCTACAAGGCCAGAGAGCAGGGGCTTCCCCACTCCCGGGCCGAGAGCGAATGAGCTGCCAGCACAGCCCGCCCCATAAAAGCAATCACAGCCCTGCCCTTCTGAAGACGGAAGTCGGGCCCCCGGGGATGCTCGCCGCAGCCCACCTGCCACCCCGGGGAACAGCCGCGTCCGCTCCCCGAGTGCCCCCCTTCCCCTCCTCCCCCTGCTCTGCTGGCAATCCATTCGCGCCCGCACTTTCAGCACGGCAGGGCGACAAATGACTGCATTTGTGTACAAGCCAAAGCCATGAACAGTCACCCCCAACTTTTAAAAGCCTGAGGATATATATCCCTCCTCCTTTACCTTTCCAGTCTTGGCGGGACTGCTTCCCGCCGTCAGGGCCGTGTCGAATCGGCTGGTTCCGGTGTAAGAGCCGGACTTCAAAAAGAATGGGGGGAAAAAGTATGTGCCCTTGTATAGTCCTGCGGACTCACTGAATTTTATTTTCTGTTTTAAAGGCGAAAGGTGGGGGGAATGGTTCTCTTCCAGCTTCTAGAACGCTACCCGAGGCCTTTTCCTGTCGAATCTGGCGTTCCGAACGCCCAGCCTCGGCGGTGGCCGGAGGGCTCCAAGGGGCGGGGCGGGGCGGTAGTTTAATTACGCGCCGGGAATTGGCGGCGTTTTGTAGGGACTTGAGCACCTGAGTGCATGTTTACAACAGAAAAAAAGTGCCCTTAGTGTGGACTGGGGCTGGGGGAGGGCAAGGTGAATGTGCCGTGTTGAAACCGAAGGACGGGAAACGCTGCCTCGCTGTCCCCAGAGAAGCGCGGTCCGTGGCCCGTGGCGCGGCCGCCCCAGGACCGTCCGGAGGGAACATGGCGGCGCCCGGCGTCCGGAGCCGCAGCCTCGCGGGCCTGCTCCCGGCTCAGACCTCGCTGGAGTACGCCCTGCTAGATGCCGTCACCCAGGAGGAGAAGAGCAGCCTGGTCTACCAGTATCTGCAGAAGGTGGACGGCTGGGAGCAGGACCTGTCAGTGCCCGAGTTTCCGGAAGGTGAGGGGCTGGCTTCGGGGTGGGGACCCCGCCGGAACCTCCCCTTCCTCGGAACGACGCCCTCCCCGAGGCGGTGGGCGAGGCGGGGTGGTGCCCGGCGGGTGGTTCCGGGCGCCGGAGCCGTGGTTCGCGGGCGCTGCCGTGCCCAGGTGCCCCGAAGCGGCGGCGCCGGGCGGGTGTCTGCAGGGCGGGGCCTGCCTGTCGGTCCGCATCCTGAGCCCCGTCCGGACCTTGGGTTCACCCGCTGCACCTGCCGGGACTGTTTAGTGGCCGGGGGCGCGGTGATTACATGCCCGCGCCACCCGGCCCTTTCCGTCTGGTTGCCCAGCATCTTCTGCACCAGCCCAGCTAGCATGTTGCCCGTCTCCCTACGTGACACACAGGTCCGAACCCTCCGGGGGTGTTACCCTAATTACCTTCTCGCTGCCTCCCCACCGCCCATGGACGTGCTCTCGGGAGCCCTGCTTTACAGTTGGGGAAACGGAGGCAGGGAAAGCTCAGTGAGTTTGCCCCGGGCCTCACAGCTGGAACCGTCTGCCGGGGCCGGATGATAAAGACCCCAGATGCCAGTGCTTCCTTAGCGCCGCCACACGTCTCCGTTCCAAGTCGTGAAACGGATCGTTTAAAAAATCGGAATCCGTGGTGGCCCATCTCCAAGGTCCGGCTCCCGGCGGGCGCCGTGAGTGTTCGGAACACGAGGGAGGGAGCTGGGCCGCCCGGCAGTGCTGTTTGCTGTGATAAATGAAACCCCGCTTTCCCTTCCTGGGTCCGCACTGCCATCGCTCTGCCCGGTGGTGTTGGCATGCCTCCTGGCAGGACACCGACACCACATGTATAGTTAATTGGGTGGATGTGGCAGGGTTCAGTGTCTCCAGGGAGGTGTGTCGGAACCTTACCTCCGGCAAATGTCTGGTGTGTCTTTCCAGGCCTTTTGCTCCCACCTTGAAAAGTGCTTTTTTTTTTTTTTCCTGTTATTCATCCTATACTGGATTTGAAATATTGTGGAATTCTTACCAAAAAAATGGGAACATGAGGGCTTATCCCATCAAAGAAACTTTGAAAGAATATATATACATACACACACACACACACACATACTAGGATATATATATGCATATTTTTTTCAAAACTTTGTGAGAAGTTAGTTATGTAGTACAGTTATAAGAGCAGGCCATCAGCTAGGATTTAGGCTAGTGTTTTTATTTTCTGGACTTTGTACTTATAATGAGTGTATTTTATTACCGTCAGATTTGACCTTTGACTGGTAAATAATGTAACAAAATATTCAAGCTTCGTATTTGACATAGTCACATTTTCTACTGGACCTAATTATTGAGGACAGAATGCTAGAGATGACTTTTTCTTGGTTTCTTTATCAGTAAGACTGATATCAAGAAGTCATAAACATAACTCTGTCTCAAAAATAGTATGTTTTTGTTCATTTCTTAAAAGAAACACATGTTTATGGGAACTAGTGTGATATAATGGATGGTCAGACAGACCTGCGATTAAATCCCAGTTCCATTTGTTAGCGGCAGACTTGGAGCAAGTTACTTGACTTCTCCAAGCCTATGTCGAATTTGCAAAATAGAATGAGTATTTACCTTTCCTGTTTATTATGTAGACTGGAGGTAACATACCTAAAGTTCTTAGTTCATTGGGGAGTTCAGTAAATGTTAGCAGCTCTTAAAATTATATTGATTGTCATTGTTTTTATAAAATGTATGATATTATTAAGCCTGAGAGGCACCTAGCACAATAACTGACATGTAATAATATTTTTTCTGCCCTCAATGCAAGTCACTCTTTACTGTTTACAGAAAAAAATTTAAAAGACAGGTTCATGAATATTTTGCAACTAGGATATAAAACTACATTAATTAACTTGAAATTGTATATAATCACTTGATCTGGCATATAATTAACACTTTATTAAAATGGATAATTCAGAGTTCACCCTAAAACCTTAATAAGTTGGATTAATTGGCAGAAGTGGTAATTTAATTAGCAGTTTTCTGGTGTGTGTGTGTGTTTTTAATAATTTAATTTTTTTTAAATTTAAATTCTTTATTGTTTAAAGCATTACATATGTCTCCTTTCCCCCCATTGACCTCTCCCTGGCCGCTCCCACTACCCAGCACATGCCCTCACCCGCCCCCCCCCCCCCCCAACTGTCTGTTGGTTTTTAGAATTTTGTTATATTTGAGTAACTTGTTACTGTTATTAGTCACTAGTTCTTATTATGCACTGGATCCACCCAACCAACTCTGGCTTTCAGTTTCTATAAAATATTTCCAAATGCCTGTTTTAAGATATAATTAAATATTGTATGTCAATTATACTTTAAAAGTATAATTAATAGTTTTAGTAGCTGCCTTTATTTACTTATAAGCAACAAACTCATTATCTTTGTCTTCTTAAGTCGGTTAAATGAAGATGCTTTACTTCTTTTCATTATTGATTTTTCTAAAGAGAGGAAAGTAGAGAGAGAAAGATTGATCAGTTGCCTCTTGCATGCAACCAGGTATCAAACCCACAATCTGTGCATGTGCCCTGACCAGGCATCAAACCCACAACCTTCAGTGCACGGGATGATGCTCCAACCAACTGAGCCATATTGGCCAGGGCAAAATGCAGTACTTTTAATGTTAGGTTAACAAAATCTATCTTCATAGTGCATAGTTAAAATTGTAAATAATGGTCAAATAATTATAAATTCTGAATTGCAAAAGTGCAGATTAAGGAGATTTTATTTTTCTTTGGAGGGAAGGGAACTAATGTTTACATGAAATCTGTAACAGTGTATTTTTCTTACCTTTGCATTTAAAATATTTTGCATTTATGGTCTCCTTCAAATCAAGCATTTCTGCTCTTTTATGAAATTGGTTTAAGCATTTTGTGTGTTTAACCTTTGATTTGAACACTTTGCTCCTTTTTGATATTTAGTCATGTCTTGCTATTTTTAAGGTTGACTCATTTTCAGTAGCCCTTTTGTACCTTATTGTGTACTTAGGCCCTCTTAATAATATTTGATATTTCCTCTTGTTTTTTACCTAAATGTGTTGATCTTACTTCCTTACGCAGACTGCTATAGTGTTTCTGAAAGAATTGGATAGCTTTTTCTTACTATATTTGCAGGGCTGCCTCATTACAGCCTCTTTCCCATTTTGTTCCCCCCGTCTTCTCTGCACACCCATCTTCTCCTAAGAAATAAGTGGTTCACATTTTAGATTAATTGTCCTTTTAGTCATGATCATTTATTTTGTGTAAATTTCAGGGTTAGAATGGCTGAACACGGAGGGGCCTATTTCTGTTTACAAGGATCTGGGCGGAAAAGTGGTCATCCTTGATTTCTTCACCTACTGCTGCATAAACTGCATTCACCTACTGCCTGATCTCCATGCCTTAGAACACACCTACTCGGATAAAGGTAATTGGCCTTTAATTGGTTCTAACAGACACAGACACTGGAAGAGTAGCTGACTCATTTCCTCACAGGCGAATGAATGTTTGGCAAGACTTCAGTAATTCTAAAATAAATTTCTAATCTATGAATTAAGGACTCCATGTACCTTTTCAGAAGAGTTAAATGTAGTGATACTAGAACCAGCACTTAGTAAATTTAGTATATTTTTCTCTAAGAATAGGACATAATGTACTTTTCTCAGGATCAAGTATTTTAAAAAGTTAATTTTATATATCTAGATTTACCTGAGTTTGTTCTATAAAAAAATTAAATGTGTGACTCTGATTTTATACTCTTCTCAAGAACTGTGATACAAAGGTTTAAAGTTCTTAATAGGAAATGTGATTATTCTTCCTTTCATTTTGAATGACATGGACATGAACAACAGTGCAATACAGAATACTATAACAGATGCTCTTTCTTTGACCTGCTTTATGAAAAATATCTTCCAAAACACTAGGAAATCCTCTTTTATGGTATTGCAAATTCTGAAGATGTAAGAGATTAATCTTAATATTTACTTTAGAAGTTTGAGATTTTTTTCAGAGACTTTTTTTCCTGTTTACTTTTTCCTAAAAGAGAGCATGGGGGGGTAAATGAAACTAAAGGTTCCATTTAATTAGGTTGAAATTAATTGAAGCTCTTCTCTTAATAAAAGATAAAAATGAGAAAGAGTCAATGATCTTGTGAGTAAAGATGAGAAGAGAGTATACATGTGCAAGGTGAAGGACATCTTGAAACTTAAAAAACAGGAGTGAAAGATAAAATCTTCAGTGCTAGTGAAACTTCAGTTGCTTTTAAATTGTAATAGGGTATATCTTCAAATTGCCAAACAGTGAGATTTACCAAGAACTCAAAAGTCCCAGTAGCTAAATCATGTTTTCAGAAATTCATCTGTATTGATTTAAGAACTATGAGTATCTCATCTCTTAGGTTTTGAATGCTGTGTCTTCTTCAAGCCCCTGTAAATGAATACATTTATTGAACATGTGTTAAGTGTAAGGTTCTCTGCTTAACTGCTGGGAAAATATGTATCAATGTTTCAGAGTTGAATGAAAAGCATTATGGAACCTGAGGAAATGACTAACTTTGCTTACAAGCATTGCAAAAGATTTCTCAGAGAAGGAGACAATTTAGATGGAACTGGGAAAAAGAGCAGCAGTGCCGCTGAAAATGAAAATGGGACAGGTGGGGGAAGCAACAGGGAAACTAGCAGGAAAGCATGGAGCGTGGGCCTCTTGGGGAGTGGTCAATAGCTTAGTTTGGCAAGATTGTAGGAGCTCCTGGGAAAAGCGAAAGAAGAGGAAGGTAGGTTGGGTTTGGACCATGAACCGAAGGGCTTTGTATAACATTCTTAATAGTTAGGCTTTTCCTTCCATTTAAGATACAGAGATATTAAAGGTTGTTTGTTTAATAGAATGATCACATCATAACAACATTTGAGTTTTAGAGAGGCACTACAGATTGAGTTAAGAATCCCAGAGTTAACTTTTTCCACACTTAAGATTACCCCTAAAAGACTGTATTTGATTAACTTTCTTGGTTAACCCTATACCTGGAACACATTCTTAGAATGGATCCTCGTAATCTCTTTATCACTTTACTGAAAAGCTCCTTTTCATAGCACAGTGTAATTAACACCTTATTTTTATATTCAAATACACTTCTGAAAAGTAAAATACTTTGTAAATGATCTCAACATTATAATTTCAAAGAAACATTATTTCAGTAATATGCTACATATGAGAAAAATATTTTTTTTCATTTTAGAAGTTCAATTCATAGTCACAAAAGCAGGCATACCCAGAGATTACATCAAAGTTCAATGAACTGTTGCTAACTTCATTGGCTTTCTTGCGGCTGTCTTGTCTCACTACTATCTGATATGTTTCTGAACATATTTGCAGCAATGCCTAATACTTCTTAAAAATGACATTTGGCCACCTATTTCAGCTTCCATGGAATGTTCAGTTCATTTTATCAGTAAGCCAGAATTGCTTAGCTTTGTGAGGGAGTGCTTATTAATTCAAAACTCCATGAAAGAGGTCCAATTTAATACCCAGTCTCCTTCCTCTGTAAAACAGCTTTTAAAGTCAGGTTTGTAATGATGATCAGTATCACGTTTACAGTAGCATATGAGAAATCATAATGCCAAAGTCTAAAGTAAAAAGATACTCTACTTAATAGTAATGAGTGGTCTGGTCTTTAAACATTGTTTAAGAATGTAGTTATATCCTAAGGTTGTTATTCTTAACAGTTCAGTTCACATTTATATTAGGTGCCTTGGTGGTTTTCTTTCCTTTTCTACTTTAGAGTTTCTAAATTTTTCTTTTTCTTTTCATGCTGGATACATTAATGGTATGTTATTATATAATGCCCAAATTTAGCAGAATGGCTTTTATCTAAGGAAAAGTATTCTTGTTTTGTAAGAAAACAATTAGGAAAACTTGGCGTATTTTAAACTGTGATTACTTAGTATATGTTAATATATAATTAAATTAGATTTCTAAAAATGTAAATGCCATAATACAGCTGAATAAATGCTGGAATTCTCATCATGTAGCATATACTATTTTTCTTTTTTATACTTTATTAAAAATTAGAAAATGCATTTTTTATTTTATAGTGAAACTAAACTTTTTAATGAGTCAATATGTAATTTCATTTTGTGTCAGGATTCCTAAAACCACCACCAGGTTTAGGAGGACTCACAGGATTCAACAAAGGGAAAGGACACTTGGGGCTAAGTCCTTCCTACTTTTGTTCTGTGTGATTAACTACACAGAGAAAGGGAACTGCCAGAAGAGGGCGCTCTCAAATTGAGAGCCCTGTCCATAACATGAAGGGAATGTTAAAAACATCATATCCATGTAAAACCTTAAAAAGTTGAAAATGTGACTCAGAGTTGAAATGCTGATGAAAATTCTCACTTAAAAAATGATCACAATATTGGCAAAAACTGTAATAATTTTTCAATCGAATTACATATTTTCAAACATTTTAGGAATAATGAAAAAGCAACTTGTATCAAAATTCAAAACCTAAACAGAAATGGACCAAAAAGAAAAAAAAAGGAAGAAATGTCCTGATTGAACTCAGAAAAGAAATAGAGGGAAAAGATCAGAATTATATTAGAAATGAATACTAAATTGTGCCAAAGGGACAATAAATTCATGTAAAAATGGAATAAGGGGCATTGAAGTAAAGCAGGGGATAAAACTTAGGGAATAAAAATGAGCTAAAGAAAAGTAACAAGAGATAAAAAATGATTGGATTGGAAGACAGCAGAAGGTCCAACATAAGACTACTTGGAGACTCTGAAGAATAAAATTGAAACAACTGACTGGAACTAATATCTAAAGTTAGAATCCAAGAAAATGTTCTAGAAATAAACTTTGAATGTTAATTTTTTTTAGACCTGTGTTTAAATGCAGTCCAATACACACACTAATTTAGTTCTGCCTTTTTTATTGTTTTTTTCCTCTGGACTATTTATATTTACTAATGAGCCAATGCCTAATATGTGGATGATGCTATTCAGGCTTTAATATTTCATAATATTTAACTTCTTTCATTTAGACGGTCTTCTGATTGTTGGTGTTCACTCGGCTAAGTTTCCAAATGAAAAAGTCCTGGATAACATTAAGAGTGCTGTTCTTCGATATGACATCACCCACCCTGTGGTTAACGATGCAGATGCCAGCCTTTGGCAAGAACTGGAGGTGTCCTGCTGGCCAACTGTGGTCATACTTGGACCCCGTGGAAACATGTTGTTTTCGTTGATTGGAGAGGGACACAAAGAGAAATTGTTTTTGTATACTTCAATAGCTTTAAAGTATTACAAAGACAGGGGACAGATCAGAGCTAATGAAATTGGAATAAAACTCTATAAAGATTCTTTGCCACCTTCACCATTGCTGTTTCCTGGCAAAGTAACAGTAGACCATCTTTCTAAGAGACTGGTAATAGCAGACACTGGACATCATAGAATTTTGGTCGTCTGGAAGAATGGACAAATTCAGTACAGCATTGGAGGTAAAGTTTGTTTTTAATTATATGTAATGTATTTTTAGTGAAAAAAGTTCAAAGAAATATATTGAAATTTATAAATAAGAACTAATTATAGCACTATACATTGACTTTAACGTCATGAAATTTGTTAATTAATGTATGGTACCTAAAGTAATCTCTTCTCCCTCAAAAAAACCCCTACAAAACCCCATTCAAATCAAAAGGAAGAAATCTTTAAGTTAGTAATTTTTAAAGTATATTTGTATATCTTGTTTCACAAAAACTACCACACTTATTCTATCTTATGAAAGTACTACTGGCCCGGTGCACGAAATTTGTGCAGGGGGAGGGGGTGTTCCTCAGCCCAGCCTGCACCCTCTCCAATCTGGGACCCCTCGAAGGATGTCCTACTGCCGGTTTACAGGGATCGGGCCTAAACTGGCAGTCGGACATCCCTCTCGCAATCGGGACTGCTGGCACCTAACCACTCACCTGCCTGCCTGCCTGCCTGATTGCCCCTAACCACTCTGCCTGCTGGCCTGCTCTCCCCCAAATGCCCCCTGCCGCTGGCCTGCTTGCCCCCAAATGCCCCTCCCGCTAGCCTGATCACCCCCAACTACCCTCCCTGCTGGCCTGCTCGCCTCCACTCCCCTCCCCACTGGCCTGCTTGCCCCCAACTGCACCCCTGCTGGTCTGCTTACCCCCAACGGCCCCGCCCCCCACCAACCTGATCACCCACAACTACCCTCCCGTCTTGGCCTTTAACCGCCTCTATCTTGGCCCCGCCACCATGGCTTTGTCCAGAAGAATGTCCAGAAGGTCTCCTGGAAGTTCTCCCAGCCTAATTAGCATATTACCTTTTTATTAGTATAGATAGAGGCCTGGTGCATGGGTGGGGGCAGCTGGTTTGCTCTGAAGGGTGTCCCGGATCAGGATGGGGATTCCCTTGGGGTGTGGGACTGCCTGAGCGAGGGGCCTGTGGTGGTTTGCAGGCTGGCTACGCCCCCTTCAGGGTGGGGGTCCCCACTGGGGGGGCGTGGCCAGCCTGAGTGAGGGGCTAAGGGCTGTTTTTAAGCTGGCCACACCCCCTTCAGGGTGGGGGTCCCCACTGGGGTGCTTGGCCAGCCTGGGTGAGGGGCTGATGGCTGTTTGCAGGCCCTCCTTGAGCGGAGGCCACAGTGGCTGGAAGCAGGTATCTGGGATTTATTTATCTTCTATAATTGAACCTTTGTAGCCTTGAGTGGAGCCCACAGCCAGCCAGGGCAGGTAGGAAGCTTGGCTTCCTCCATCGCCAGGGGCAACCCAAGCCTCCTGTTCACTCCAGCTCCGTGGCCGCTGCCATCTTGGTTGGGTTTATTTGCATACTCTCTCCTGATTGGCTGGTGGGCGTGGCTTGTGGGCATAATGGGGGTACAGTTAATTTGCATGTTTCTCTTTTATTAGATTAGATTACAATAAATCCTCACTTAACATCCTCAATAGGTTCTGCAGCTTCAAATGAAAAAACATATAACAAAAGAAATGTTACCCTAGGCTAATTGATATAAAGAAGAGTTAAGTAAGTGCCTGTGGCATACTATCAACATTATAATAAAACAATGCTAAATGTATTTGAGGACCTACTGTATACTCTATATACATTTTGGATTTGGGGCATTTTAAATGGAAGTATTGTATTTCACTTTCCATCAAAATATAGCCTTATCTTTTTTATTTTTTTAAGACCAAGATAATTCCTTAGGCACTTGAGACTTAGATTATAAAATAAATAACCTAGGATTTGTATATAATTTTCTTTTTCCTTTCATAAGAACTTACTCATATGTCTAGATCATTTCCCTTTGGGTTTAGCAAAATATAAGTATCATTCAAGCATGGATCATTTTGTTCCATATCTCTCTGATCTTAGATCTAAAAAGGGCTCTTGTTTACATCTACATAATTAATAGTCTTATTAATTTAAAAATAATTTATTATTAACAACATATTAATCAGAGAGAAAAGTAATTCATCTCTGCTGCCCACTTGAGTAACACATATAGCATAAAATAGAGATACTTGCACTCCTAGTGCAAATAAACTAATCATGTTCCTAAACCCTGGTGCTAATCTTCATATGCCAAGATATTATTCCTATAGCTCTTGAATTTTTTGTTTCTTGTTTCTTGTTTTTGTTGGAGTATGTGTGTGTTTTATGTTGTTTATTTTGTTTTAGTAACTTAGTGTTTTGGCATGCAGTTATGAGAATTGTTACTCAAAATGTTGTAGCAGGTTGAATTTAAATGGTTAAGAGAGTTTCTAATAGATTCTATAACTTTCAAAATAGTATAGGTAGCCAGAACCGGTTTGGCTCAGTGGATAGAGCGTCGGCCTGCGGACTGAAAGGTCCCAGGTTCGATTCCGGTCAAGGGCATGTACCTGGGTTGCAGGCACATCCCCAGTAGGAGATGTGCAGGAGGCAGCTGATCGATGTTTCTCTCTCATCGATGTTTCTAACTCTCTATCTCTCTCCCTTTCTCTCTGTAAAAAATCAATAAAATATATTTAAAAAAAAAATAGTATAGGTAAATATTCTTTTGTTGTTGTTAAATAGAGAAAACTAGCAACAAGCTAGCTTTCCCAAACACGTTTTTCGGAATACTGTTATCTTGTAATAAATTAATAGTTATTCTAGAATTTTTGAAAAAGAATTCTGTGTTCAGCAACACCAGGAAAAAATAGTTAGATGTGGTTTAACAAATTTTTTGTTTGTGATGGTTGTACTGTACTTCTCATATCTCTTACTCTGCTAATGTACCTCATGAATATCCAAGAGACTTTATAGTGTACAGTATCTTTTAATTTGAAGTGACCACAATTCTCTCCCTTTTTTCCTCTGTAGGGGACTCTCACCAACAATAATAATATTACTAATAATAGTAATAACAGTAAAACTGTCAATAATAGTAATAATAATATTAGTATAATAATAATACATTTACTTCTGGCATTTTTTACTTTTTTAAAATTTATTTTTATTGCTTTCAGAGGGGAAGGGTGAGGGAGAGAGAGACAGAAACATCAATAAGAGAGAATCATTGATCGGCTGTCTCCTGCATGCCCCACATGGGGCATATATCCGGACCAGAATTGAATTATGACCTCCTGGTTCATAGGTCTATATTCAACTACTGAGCCAGGTGGCCAGCCAACTTCTGGTATTATTCTAAGTACTTTACCTGTATTAATTTGTTTAGTCCTCATAGTGCTGTGAGTTAGGTATATTATTAGTTCCATTATACAGAAGACAAACTGAGACACAAAGAATGGTCATCAGCTAAAGAGATATAGAGCTGGGATTTAAATCAAGTCTTTTGGGCTCTTGAGTTTATGTTTCTATCCACCTGTCTTACTAACGTCTTATGGACAGTGGAGTTTTGCAAAACATAGTTTGGAAATGCTGACTTAGACGCTTTGAATGGCTTGTCCTCTGGTCAAAGAAATAACAATTATATTTTAATTACTCTCCACTCTTAAAACTCCACATGTGTTACAAAAGCTGAGAAGTAGGTCACTAGACTAGTATCACACTCTTTATTTTACAGTATCTATAAGGTATAGAACTTTGTGGCAAAGTGAAATAGTAAATGGAGGATTCTTAACCTAGGGTTCATGGACTCTTAAGAAATGCTTGAATGGACTTGAGGATCTAGGAACCTCTTGAAATTATTTGTGACATTTTATGGGCATGTGTATTTTTCCATAAGGAAAGGGTTCATGATTTTCATTGTATGGTTAACCATTCAACAATTTGGGGTTTAGGGGTGCCATCCCCCGGTGCAGCTGAAAATTCACATGTATCTTTTGACTTCCCCAAAACTTAACTGCTAATAGCTTAAACTACTAATAGCCTACTGTTGACCAGAATCTTTACTAATAACATAAAGTCAGTTAATACATATTATATATATGTGTTATATACTGTATTCTTACAAAAAGGTAAGCTAGAGAAAAGAAATGCTATTAAGAAAATCATAGGGAAAAATACATTTACAGTATTTATTGAAAAAAATCCACATAGAGAGCTTCTTTGTTTATTAGATGGAACGCTGCCCGATTCATGAATCATTCAATAAAGCCAAGTAGATCTTTAAATTTAAAACAAATGAAAAAAATCCTCATATAAGTGGACCCATGCAATGCAAACCTATGTTGTTCACCTGTCAATAGTATTATCAAATGAGCATATCTTCCCGAATTGTTCAATGTCACTCATCCAGATGCTTAAAAATTAAAATTATATTTAGTTCTTTCTAATGTAGGTAACAGGTACTTAAGATGCTTTTAAAAGTATTTTCTTCTGATATATGTTACCGTAAAGTACACTAGTAGCCATTATCTAATACACCCTGTCACTAACAACACTTGTTACTCTTGAGAAAAACAGATATATTAGGAAACATTTTAGTGTTCAGATAGAAACATCATGTTATTTATATTAAAATCTTGGCTTTAAATACAGATTTTCTTTTGGAGGTTTTACTAAATAGAAAAATTTTGTCTTATGGCTATCTTGTCTTTTAGGACCCAATCCTGGAAGAAAAGATGGAATATTTTCAGAGTCAACTTTTAATTCACCACAGGGTGTAGCCATAATGAACAATATCATATATGTGGCAGATACTGAAAACCACCTTATAAGAAAGGTAATTTTCCATTTTAAATAGTTTTATACTTCCAATCAGAAAAACAGATATTTACTTGCTACATTAAATATTCAGAGTGAGAAGGCGATGCTTAAATACCTCAAATCATTCATATTCAGCTGTTTTCACAGGTGCTGGCTTTAGTTTTATTCTTTGGTATCTTGTTTTTCTGGGTGTCAGTGTATAGTTGTCTCAGAAGATAAACCCTCAGTCAAGTCCCCTTTTTTTGCCCTTTGTTTCAAAGTCTCATGCCTAATCACCCCAAAGCTCCTCGTTTTGAGATATTTTCCTAACCACTGTATACAAAGTGGTGTTTTGTCTTTTTAAAAGTTAAATTTTCTGAAACCTAGAAAAAAAATCATACCACTTCCTGCCTTCATCTTTTTTGCTTTGCCTACAGATACATATCAGTCAATAAGTCTTAAAAGGTGTTTTATATCTGAATAAAAGTAAAGAATCTTGTTTTTAAAAAATGAGTTAATCATAAAGGTAAAAAAAGTCCTCTGATCATTTATTCCAGCTCCCTAGAGGTAACCAACCATTATTAAATTTTGTGTTTTTTCAGAAATTTCCTACTCACAAATAAATTTATAATAAAAAGACTGACTTTAGACTAGCAGTCGCCAACCTTTCGGACCTCCCAGACCAACAGTGGTCCGCAGGCCACTGTTTGGTGACTGCTGCTCTAGACAATCTTTTTTTTAATAAATGGTGGAATCCTGTTGTACTTACATAATCTTCTGCAGTCTTTTTAACGTATTTATCTATATTAGTCACATGAATGATATGACTGCATCATATCCATTGTAGAAGTCATTTTAAACATTCCTTATTGATGAAGATTTTGGCTATAAATCAGTGATCTTTAGTAGGTTGCTGTCTTTTTCTAAAGTCTACTAAGTTGATCTAATCCATCATGCCTAAACATACTGTTTCAAATACTTTCTTGATTTTCTTGCTTTTTATTTGTCTATTGATATTTATGCCCATTTATTTGACAATATTATCACCTATTATACATATAATAAAAAGTGTAGAACATATAATATCTACTGTAATGAAAATCTCCATGAGGTCATGCAATTTGGTTTCCTTACCTCTGAAATCCTAAGCACCTGGAACAGGGCCTGGCCCACGGCAGGTGTTCAATAGATATTTGTTGAATGAATTTCTGAGCAAAGAACATCTATTTAATGATGCATTTTCTAAAGTGCATATTTCTCTTAATATGAAAAGGTGTTCCATGAAAAAAGAATTTTATGGGTTTATAAAATAAAGCAGATTTAGTTTTTTTTAGAGTCTTGGAGACTGTCTTTTTAGAGACTTTAATATGCTAATGTATTGTGAATACATTGTTGGGGGTATATATGTGTAGTATTTCCAAACTTACTTGATCAAGGATTACTTTTTAGAATTTTTCATAGGTCTAATGATTTCATGGTATATACTTTGGAAAAAAAGTGGTTTTCTGTTGTTACTAAGTCCTTAAAGTCAGTATTTAGCAATATCTTTTGGGGTTGTATGCTTCTTTAATTTATCATGTCATAGATATCTAACAGGGTATTAAAGTAGTAAAATATTTACCCTGCAATATTCAGTGAATACTTGTCCTTTTTTAATTGTCCATTTTATCTCCTGATTTAGAACCCACAGGTTTTGAAGTATTGACTGTATTTCAAATGCTTTTTAAGTAGCATAATCACATATTTAGGTTACCCTAAGTTATTTTTATATTATATGGCTTAGTTTAGTGTCTGCAAATACAGGACGTAAAGTGGAATTATTATTTCTTCCTCTCTTTTAAAAAATGTTTATTGTATTTTACTTTTGTTTAAATCTCATTAACAGAGGATTGGTCATAATCTTACATTGACAGCTCACATTTTTCAGTGCAGACCTATCTCTTGTTCAGAATATTATTTATTAATTTATAAATTCCTCTTTATCCCCATTTCCCCTGCATAAACATACCTGCAGGCAGTCGTTCTATATTCAACTCATATATTTTTATTTGCATCTGACCTTGTAAAACATGTAGCGTTTTGTGTGCTTGTTTTTTAATAACTTTATTATGATACTAGAGGCCCGGTGCTGGCCTGCCCTGATCAGGGATGATCGGGGCCAGGCCGGCCAGGGGAGAGGCCGTGGGAGGTTGCCTGGCCGCCCCGCCCCCAATCAGGGTTGCGGGGGGCGATCGGGTCTGGGGGGAAGGGCCGCAGGAGGTTGGCCAGCTGGCCCCGCCCCTGATTGGGGGGCTGATCGGGGGCCAGACCAGCTGTGGGGAGGGGTTGACCGGGGACCCGGCCAGCCGGGGGATCGGGCTAGTTGGCCAGCCACAGTGCACATCATAGTGACCGGTCGTTCTAGTCTTTCTAGTTGCTTGGCTTTTATATATATACTAGAGGCCCGGTGCACAAAAATGTGTGCACTCGGCGGGGGGGTGGGGGGGTGGGGGGTCCCTCAGCCCAGCCTGTGCCCTCTCACAGTCTGGGACCCCTCGGGGGATGACCACCTGCTGGCATAGGCCTGCTCCCTGGAGGATTGGGCCTAAGATGGCAGTCAGACATCCCTCTGGCAGCCCGGCAGCCCTCGGGGGATGTCCATTTGCCAGCGGGGAGCAGACATAAGCTGCAGTCAGACATCCTTAGCACTGCTGAGGAGGCAGGAGAGGCTTCCACCACCACCACTGTACTGGCAGCCATCAGCCTGGCTTGTGGCTGAGCAGAGCTCCCCAATGTGAGAGTGCACTGACCACCAGAGGGCAGCTCCTGCATTGAGCGTCTGCCCCCTGGTGGTCAGTGTGTGTCATAGTGACCAGTCATTCCCAGTCTTTCTGCTGTTAGGGTCAGTTTGCATATTACCCTTTTACTATATAGGATAGAGGCCTGGTGCACGGGTGGGGGCCGGCTGGTTTGCCTTGAAGGGTGTCCCGGATCAGGGTGGGGCTCCTGCTTGGGTGCCTGGCCAGCCTGGGTGAGGGGCTGATGGCTGTTTGCAGCTGGTCGCACCCCCTTCAGGGTGAGGGTCCCTACTGGGGTGCCTGGCCAGCCTGGATGAGGGGCTGATGGCTGTTTTCAGGCTGGCCACACCCCCTTTAGGGTGGGGGTCCCGCTTGGGTGCCTGGCCAGCCTGGGTGAGGGGCTGATGGCTGTTTGCAGCTGGTCACACACCCTTCATGGTGGGGGTCCCCACTAGGGTGCCTGGCCAGTCTGGGTGAGGGGCTGAGGGCTGTTTTCAGACTGGCCAGGACTGAAGCTCCCAGCCTCTCCTTTTTTTCTTTTCTTTTTTTTCCTGGGATTTATTTACCTTCTATAATTGAAACATTGTTGCCGTCACTGGCGCTCCCAGCTCTGAGTTCGCGGCCAGCTGAAAGCAGGTATCTGGGGTTTGTTTAGCTTCTATAATTGAAACATTGTTGCTTTTGGGCTCAGAGCCAGGCCGCAGCAGGCGGGGAACCTTGGCTTCCTCCATCACTGGAGCAAGCAAGCCTCATGTTCACTTCAGCTGCGTGGCTGCCGGCCACCATCTTTGTTGGCAGTTAATTTGCATATCGCCCTGATTAGCCAATGGGAAGCGTAGCGGAGGTATGGTTAATTACCCTTTTTGTCTTTTATTAGATAGGATTCTTATCTCATACACTATCAATATTGTTTATTCCTTCTATTCCCTCAAGTTTTCGTTTTATTAGTAAGTAACGCAATGAATTGAGCAGCAATATTGTAGCTGAAATCTAAGAAAGCAAGCTGTTTGGGTAAAAGCAATCAACTCAAAGGGTTGCAAGATAGGAATTATTAGTTCATAGTTATAAGATGAGATAGATATTTTATATAGCATTAAATTCCAAGTATATAGTTTAAGAATTTTTAGTAAATATAACAAGTTGTGCAGCCATAACCATAAATCAGTTTTAGAATATTTTTATCCTCTCAGTAAGAATGTTCATGACTTTTACAGTTAATCTCCACTCCCACCCACAGCACTAATCTTTATAGAGATAGACAGTCTCTCGAACATTTCATATAAATAGAGTCATACAATATATGGTCTTTGTGTCTTCTTTCATTCTGTGTAATGTTTTTGGGGTTCATATATAGTTTATTCGTTTGCATTGCTGAATAGCATTCCATTGTATGCATATTCCACATTATGTCTGTCCATTCACCAGTTGGTGGGCAATTAAGGTATTTCTAATTTTTTGCTATTATGGATAAGTAATTCATGTGTAAGTTTTGTGTGGACATACATTTTTATTTTTCTTGGATCAATATTTAAGTACTCAAATTGTTGAGTCATGTAATTATTCATATCTGCATAGTTCTATTTCTGGACTTTGAGATCTATTCCATTGATCTACACCACACTGTTTTGATTGCTGTAACTTTTAATAAATTTTAAAATCAGTGAAGTACAGGTCTTCTCAGTCTTCTTTTTCAACATTGTTTTGGCTGTTCTGGGTCGCTTACAATTCCCTATGAATTTTAGGATCAGCATATCCATTTCTGCAAAAACTTTTGTTTCTTATATAAATAACTAGAGGCCTGGTGCACAAAATTCTTGCATGGGTGGGTTCCTCAGCCCGGCCTGCATTCTCTCACAGTCCGGGACCCCTCACTCTACCACCCGCCTGCTCGCTGCTCCTTACTGCTTGGCTCGCTGCTCCTCAGTGCTGCTGCGGAGGCCAGAGAGGCTCCCTCTACCACTGCTGTGCTTACCAGCCGTGAGCCTGGCTTCCTGTTGGAGCACACTGACCACCAGGGGACAGCTCCTGCATTGAGCGTCTGCCCCCTGGTGGTCAGTGTGCATCATAGGGACTGGTCATTCTGGTCATTACACTGTAAAGGTCGCTTAGGCTTTTGTTATATAGACTAGAGGCCCAGCGCACCAAATCGTGCGTGGGTAGGGTCCCTAGCCTGTGATCAGGGCCATCTTCCGCTCACTTGCCAGTTCCCAGTTCCGCCCCGCTGCTGCCCACACTGGTTCTCCGTGGTTCCCGTTAGCCATCCAGCAATCGGAGCCTGTGGGCCGGGGGGAGGGATCAAGAGGTCTGCCTTCCACCTGCTTGACAGTCCCCAGTCCTGCCCTGCCGCCACCGCCCACCCCAGTTCCCCATGGTTTCCCTTTCACCATCCAGCAATTTGAGCCTGCAGGCTGCGGGGAGGGACAGAGAGGTGGTCAATGCACCTCATAGCAACTAGTCAAACGGTCATTCTGGTCGTTACGCCGGTATGGTCGCTGGCCTTTTATTATATAGGATTATGATGTCTGAAAAAACAAATGGCAGGTTTATATTTTCCTTTCTTATTTATACACATCTTGTTTTATTATATTGCTGGATAGAACCTCAGTTGCTGTTAAGCATTAGCAGTGATTGTGTATTTTGTCATCCTCATATTCTTAAAGAGAATGCATGTCAATTTTCTCCAAAGTTTAGTATCTTCTGTAGCTTTGGGGAAAAAATATTTATGAAGAAATTTCATATTCTTATTTACTTAGAATTATTTTATTATGTAATTTTATGAAGTATATGTTCTATATTTATTGAAATAATTAGGTAATATTTTGCCCTCAGTATTTTGATGTAATGAATTATATTAATATATTTTTTTAATGTTAAACCATCTTTGTATTCCTGGGTTAAACCTTACCTAATGATCAATTTTTTAAAAGTCAAGTTGGATTTGATTATCCCAAATTATATTTAATACTTAAAAATTCATGTTCATAAATTAAATGGTTCTATATTTTTTTGTACTCTTGTAACCCAGTTTTGGAATCAAGGTCACACTAAACTCATTAAATGAGCTAGTTAGTTTTTGTTTTGTTTTTTTAACTTTTGGAATAATTTGTCTAATGTAAAAATTAATGGTTTTGAACATTCATTAAAAAACCTCAGTAACATCACCTGGACCAGGGGCTTTTTGCAAGAGGAATTCTTTTGATTGTCATGTCAATTTCTAAGATGCATTTCTTAGATCAAATATTATTTCAAGGACCTATCCCTAGCTGCCTATTGCATTTTTTGCAGATTTACTAGTAGTTCAGTAAAAAATATAGATAAGGTTACATTAATAATATTCTTTACAATTTTGAGAGATTATAAAAATAATGCAAGAGGATATTGCTAAAATAAATCAATGTATTTCATCGTAATAAAGGAATAAAAGACAATAATCATTACTATATTTATTCAGAAAAACATTTTAAAAAATTTAATACCTATTTTTTAACATATATTTTAATTGATTTCAGAGAGGAAGAGAGAGAGAGAAACACCAGTGATGAGAGAGAATCATTGATCGGCTGCCTCCTGCATGCCCCCCCACTGGGGATCAAGCCCGCAACCCGGGCATGTGCCCTGATCAGGAATTGAACAGTCACCTCCTGATTCACAGATAGACGCTCAACCACTGAGCCACACCAGCTGGGCAATGTAATACCTATTAATGATAAAACTAGTAAACTTGAAAAGGAAATAAACATAGTGAATATAATCAAAGGGCATTTACAAAATGGCTTTATAGCTACACTTAATGCAAAATATTGAATGCCTTCCTTCCATGATTGGGAACAAGGCAAGGATTCCCACTCTCGCCACACCTATTAAATATTATACTGAAAGTATTAGCCATTGTAGTAAGGCAACAAAGAGAGACAAAAGGCATATAGGAAGAAGAACTGTCTTTATTTGCCAGTGGCATGTGATCTATAATAATAAAAGTGTAATATGCTGATTAGACCGGACGACCTTCCAGACAAAGCTGGAGCTGTGAGGGAAACCCGGGTCCCGGGTGCTGGAGGGAAGCCAGTGCCAGCAGCCGGGGGAAGGAAGGCCTACTCTTGCATGAATTTTTTTCTTTTTTTCTTTTCCTTCTTGATTAAGGTATTACATATGTGTCCTTATCCCCCAATTCTCCCCCCCCCCCACTCTCCCCACTCATGCCCTCACCCCCCTGGTGTCTGTGTTCATTGGTTAGGCTTACATGAATGCATATAAGTCCTTTGGTTGATCTCTCCCCCTTACCCCCACCCTCCCCTACCTTCCCTCTGAGGTTTGGGTCTGATCGATGCTTCTCTGTCAAATCTGTTTTTGTTCATCAGTTTATGTTGTTCATTATATTCCACAAATGAGTGAGATCATCGAGTGAGATCTTGCATGAATTTCGTGCATTGGGCCTCTAGTATACATAGAAAATTCTAAGAAATCTATGAAAAAGCTACTTGCACTAATAAGAGAATTTAGGAATGTTGCAGAATACAAAGTCAATAAAAAAAGATCCACTCTGTGTTTATATGTTAATAACAGTTAATTGGGAATTAAAAATTTTAAATTCTATTTACGGTAGCAATAAAAACAAAGTACTTAGAATAAATTTAACAAAATACATGCAAGACTTGTGTACTTCAAATTATAAAACATTGCTAAGAAAATTAATCCAGTATTGGATTGGAAGTTTCAATATTAAGATGTCAGTTCTCTCCAAATTGACCTTTAAACTCAGTGCAATCCCAGTCAAAACTCCATCAGATTTTTTTGGTATTAAGTGGATTCCAAAATTTACATGGAAATGCAAAATAAAGAATTTATTATATCTAAAATTTTGAAAATGAACAAAGTTAAAAGACTTATAGTACCTGATTTCAAGACTGACTTAATGTTATGCTGATCAAGACTGTGATACTTTGTTAATATATAGATCAATAAAAAGAATAAAGCACCTAGAAGAAACGTCATATCAAATACAGTTATGATTTCCCAAAAGCATCAAAGCAGTCAAGGGAGAAAGGAAAGTCATTTTAGCAAATTGTGCTTGAACAACTAGATACCCATGTGGAGGATAAAAAGAAACACATTACCTCGAACGTTGTATACAAATAAACTCGAGATGCATCACACACCTAAATGTAAATGCTAAAAATGTAAAGCTTTTAGATGAAAACGTTATCTTCATGACTTAAAGGCGGGCAAAGGTTTCCAAAGACAGGACACAGACACAATCATAAAGAAAAAAATGATAAATTCAGATTTATCAAAAATTAAAATTTCTGCTCATTAAAATTTACTGTTAAAAAGACAAGCCACAAGCTGTCAAAAAATAACCTTAAAAATTTACAAAACATATTTATGAAGGGATTAGTATCCATGAAATATATAAAGGTTCCTACAACTAAAAATGAGAAGACAGCCCAATAAAAAATGGGTCAAAGATTTGATCAGACATTTTTTCAAAAGAAGGTATAAGAATGACCTTGTCACTTACATTTCTTTTTCAACTCAGGATGTTGATCACTTTTTTATCCACTTTATATCCACTATAATGGTTTAAATTTAAAAGACTGACAACATTATATATTGGCAAGAATGTGGAGCAATTGGAACTCCCATACATTGTTGGTGGGTAGATTGATAGCTGGATAAAATATGTAATAAAGCAAGTAAGTGAAATGGTGATAATAAGTGGTGTGTGTATAGATCTTTACTGCAAGATTCTTTTAACTTTTTTCTAGTTTGAAAATGTTCATGGTAAAGTGTTGGTGGAAGGGTCTCAGGAGATGAAACCAGAGCTTTTTTCCCCCAGTAGAATGCATTAGTTTACCAATGTATACAGCAGAGGCAATATAATGTAGTAGAGCTAGCACTGCCTGTATTCAAATCCCCAGATCCTGGACTTACTAGCTATAGGATCTTGAGAAAGTTACATAATGATCTGTGCAATAATGATAATCATAGTCATTATGAGGATGAATGGATGGATGACACCTGGATCAGTAGCTGGCATATATTAAGCTGTATATGTGTCATTTAGTAGCCAAGCATAACTGAAATACATTTAATTTCAAGAATGTGAATTTTTTAGATTTTGCTTTAAAATTTCACTTTCTTTTAAAATATTTTATAGTTAAAAGAAGATCAACACCATTTCTGGTAGAGGCATGATGAGATGAGGGGGGCAGGAGGGAAGTGGGGGCATGGACAGGTGAGGAAATGAAAAGGACTGAGTTTTGTGCTTTTGAATAACAAGATCACCCTATGCTTAATTAAACCTTTTTTAAGCTTTTAAATTTTTATAAGGTAATAGACTTTATTTTTTAGAGCAGTTTTAGATTCATAGCAAAATTGAACATAAAACACAGTTTCTTTCCCCCCCATCCCTGCAAGACTCCCTCACCATCAACCATTCCACACCAATGTGATACATTTGTTACACTTATTGAACCTGCACATCGTTATCATGCAGAGACCATCATTTATATTAGGGTTCACTCTTGATTGGCACATTTTGTAGGTTTGGACAAATGCACCATGACATGTATCCATTGACCATTGTAGCATCAAACAGGATAGTTTCACTGCCATAAAAATCCTGTGTTCCACTTATTCATCCTTCTTTCCCCTTAATTCCCAGGGATTTATACTTGTTTGTTTTTAAAGAAAGTATTTGTATTGCTAATACCTTCTATATGTTTTTATTAAAAATCTTCATGTCCAAAAGAAAATAAAAGGTAACATGCATTGCATACAACATCTTCCTTTCTGTAGATTGACCTAGAAGCTGAGATGGTGAGCACTGTAGCTGGCATTGGTATTCAAGGTACAGATAAAGAAGGTGGAGCTAAAGGAGAGCAACAGCCCATTAGTTCCCCATGGGATGTAATTTTGGGATCATCAGGTATGTAAACTTCTAATACTTAATATAAGTAAACATTGTTTCATAAATGTAAGATTTTAAAAAGATGCTGGGGACATTCATTTGGATTAATTCTATTGCTAGTAATTTTATACTTTTATGCCTGTGTCTTGAGATTTATTGTATAAAAGCAAAGCCAGCAGTAATGTATACAAGATGGAATATATTTTATATAACATGTAACATTACACATTATGTTTTATGCACAAGATAGTGCATATATTATTCTGAATTAATGTTAAAGAATCTCAGTTTAGCTGCAGCTTTCAATTAATGTAGCTCTGAATATTCTTAAATTAGGATTAGTTTCAGAACTTCAAACAATTATTCATGAACTATACCATTTAACAATGTCCTTTTTTTCTAGTTTGAAAAATAAATTTAAAAGTGAGTTGCTTTTTTTAGATTATTAAAATTTGTATTGAACCATGATAGCTTCTTTTGAGCAATTTGAAAAAAACACTTTTGCCCTACTGTATTATGTAGGTATTAATAATGAATAAGATTGACATTATCTTTACAATCTTTGCTACCTACATTAATTGACTATAAGATGACCCAGGAGCATAAGTCCTTATTTCTCATTGGCCCTCAGTGATACAGGGATGGTTATCTACATATCTAAAACCAGAGTAATGAATAAAAGTAAGTTAGTAGAATACACTGAAAATAAAACTTGTGACTAAATGGTTTGGATGGTCTTAATATGTTTATAGAGTGAACTAGAGGCCTGGTGCATGAAATTTGCGCACTCGGGGCGGGGGTGCCCTTGGGGGATGTACAACTGATGACTTAGGTCTGCTCCTCGCCAGCCATAAGCCCGGCTCAGGGCTTCTCGCTGAGCGGCACTCCCCCTGTGGGAGCACACTGACCACCAGGGAACAGCTCCTGCGTTGAGTGTCTGCCCCCTGATGGTCATTGCACATCATAGCGATTGGTCATTCCACTGTTCGGTCGATTTGCATATTAGCCTTTTATTATATAGGATAAGCATCAGTTTAGTTGAATGGCTTTACATCTTGAGATAATTTTTTATCATGATGCCAATTTGCTTATAATTCAAAGACCTTGATTTTTTTCATTTGATTAACTTTTTATAGAGTTTTTAATATTCATAAAATAACTGAATGAATTTTTGGTACTACCTGTACTTAATATGTATAACTTGGAGATTTTGCACAAGTTCTTTTTGAGATTTTCCTTTTTGGAATTCTGTGTCACAATAATCATAGTGGGGAAGGAGTTGGGGTGGCAGAGGGAGCAGTACGTCCCAGGTGCAATCAATAAGAACATAGATGATCTATATATATAAAAGCCTAAGCAACCAGACAACCGGTCGACTAGTTGCTATGACGCGAACTGACCACCAGGGGGCAGACGCTTAGCTATGTCCTATCTGCTTACCTACTGTTATTAAAGCAAGACACATAACTAAGCTCAAAGTTATGGGGCAGGGATAGACACCTTGCCTACAATGAGGCCATGTCAAGGGTGTGGGTATCTAATATTATTACAGAGGAGTAAAGAATTGAGACCAGTAATTCAATCTGTCACATATATCAGACTTTATAGGACTTATAAACAGGATGTACTTTATTGGATGCTTTACTAAGTTGGATTTATTTAATGGCCAAGGAGTGCTTAAATATTTTGCTAGGCTAAAAGTTTTTCAGGCATACTTTATAGCATGGAATTTCTGGTTGGTTGTCTTGTATTGAGAATGCACCCAAAATGCTTTCCAAGGAAAATCTTGGCTCTATTGACAAGTACTCCCTCAGCTTCCAGCTGGAGTGACATGCAATCTGAGGATTGTGTCATTACTAAGCTCAGTTTTCAGTAAAGGAAGCGAGTCCTACTTACTTAGCTCAACAGGTTTTTATAAGCATGTGGTTCTTCATTTGACTTACAGCTTAAAATAGCTTCACTCAGGTACTTGGCAAGAGGTGTATTCTTGAATACACTTAAGTTCGACACCTTCTAAATTCCTGGCCAAGAGAAAAAGGTTTCCAAGCACTGTATGAAGGACTTGTAATCACAATGACTACTCTTGCCTGAGAGCTTTTAACCTTGAGTCATATACCCAAGGCATTCCTGGTTAGGCTTTGTAAAGTACTTAAACTTCACAGAAATTATTTTCAAGATTTGGGGGAATTGGTCAGATTCTCATCAGAGTTTCAAAGTGGTATGTTACCCAAAAACATTTTAAGAGTCACTAATTTAAATTACTCTAAAATCTAATCCTGGATTAATGTATTGTCAGAGTATGGGAAATTAGATCATAGAATATTTCTTACATTTGTTTTTACTAAACTACTTTTGGCAACATGTCATTCATTAAAAAATATATCAGCATAAAATCACATTCATTTATATTTTTATGTTTGTACTAGAGGCCCAGTGCACGAAATTTGTGCACTCGGGGGGGGGGGGGTCCCTCAGCCTAGCCTTCACGCTTTCCAATCTGGGACCCCTCGGGGGATGTCCGACTGCCCACAGGGATCAGGCCTAAACCGGCAGTTAGACATACCTCTCACAATCCAGGACTGCTGGCTCCCAACCGCTCACCTGCCTGCCTGCCTGATTGCCCCTAACCGCTTCTGCCTGCCAGCCTGATCACCCCCTAACCACTCCCCTGCCAGCCTGATCGACGCCTAACTGCTCCCCTGCCGGCCCAGTTGCCCCCAACTGCCCTCCCCTGCAAGCCCGGTCACCCCCAACTGCCCTCCCCTGCTTGGCCTGGTCACCCCCAACTGCCCTCCCCTGCTGGCCTGGTTGCCCCTAACTGCCCTCCCCTGCAGGCCTGGTCCCCCGCAACTGCCTTCCCTGCCAGCCATCTTGTGCAAGAGTGTGATGGTCAATTTGCATATTCTTTATTATATAGGATATCTGTTTCATATATGTATTTCCTCAAAACACAGTCCTATAAGATTTCCTGTTTTTACTGTAGGAATTGTTGATGGTTTCAATATTTACCTTGTAAATAACCTATATGGTTTATCAACTAGAGAAAGTTTTTTCTGATCTCAGTATTATAATTGTACTTTTTCCTAGGTATCAAGTTTGTTTTTTAGCTCCTAGAAAATTTAAATGTAATAATTTATTGTGTTTGCATTGTTGTATTGATTGCTAAGAAATCCACACAGATTTATCGTTAGCAAAGGATAATGGAAATATGACATCCAGTTTTTAATAGTGTGACTGCGTCTCTCTTTCCTACCCTATTTACCTATTGGTCCAACTTTCTTACTGATTTTAAATGCATTTATCTTAGTAGGGTGTATTTCTTTGTAAGTTACCTGACTCCTTTGTGTAATAAAAGTAGACTTAAATAAATACAGTAGAATCCCTTATTGAAGTGATTGGCTATGATAATTAAATTGTTAGGGGGGGGAAATCTATTAAACCAGAACGACAAAACTAAAAATGCTTTGTTTTAATTTAAGAACTATAAATGTACATTTTTTTAACCCATCTTTGATGTAGGACTACCCCTAATTGAAAAACAATTTGACTTAGCTACTTTTTTTTTTTTTTTTTTTTTAGAGAGAGGTAGGGAGAGGGATAGAGAGATAGAAACATCCATGATGAGAGAATCATTGATCAGCTGCCTCCTGCACATCCCCTGCTGGGGATTGAACCCACAACCCAGGCATGTGACCTTGGCCAGAATCGAACCTGGGACCCTTCAGTACGCAGGCTGACGCTCTATCCACTGAGCCAAGCCAGCTAGGGCTACGTTTCTTTATTGAGTCTTTCCAAAATATCCAACTTTATATTTATAGAAACAACTTGCTTTTTGCATTCAGATTGAATTGGTTCATATAAATTTAAATTACATAATTGTACACCTACTTGAACACATTTTGAATTAAACAAAATTTGAAGGGGATTGTGGCTGACAAAAATTGTTCTTGTAAATACTTGAGTTTTAAAAATATTTTAATAATTTTATAAAGTGTTTCGGAAATGCTACCATAGTTAGGAATTTGAGAGTGGAATTATCAGGAGTAAACATAATGAAAAATAGGTTAGGTATTGTGATATCTTCATACATTAGGCTGTTCTTCAGTGCAAATAATGAATCATAGATACACCTAGCTGCATAGACAAGTATCAGAAGGAATCTGTTGAGTGAAAAAAGCTACAAAAGAGCCTACAGTATGATATTTTTTACAGAAGGTTTAGTAGTAAGCAAGACTAATTATATCTTCAGAGATCAATCCAGACTTGGTAAAACTGAAAAATAAGAAAGTGAAAAAAAATTTTTTAGACTGGTGGTTCCTTCCGGAAAGAGAAGGGGTTATAGTCATAAAAGGATGCAAGAATGTTCTTTCTTGAGTTAGGTGGTTTGCATATGGATGCTTAATTATTAAGCTTTATAATGAATGCATCCATCCATTCATATGCATATTTCATTAAAATTAAACCTTACAAAGGAGCAAAATAGATTAGGTAAATAAAATGAAAAATAACAAGGACCAATACATAGTTAAATATATATACCCTATCAAGAGACCCAGTTAATAAATAATGGGACTTGAAATACCCATTATAATATGTAAATGTGTTTGTGTATTTTAATTCTGAATACTTAACCTAATTATGCCATTACAGTGATAAAAGCATTATCACTCTAAATATGGTCAGAACTACACAGTGTAAGAAAAGTAATTACTAGGTACAATAAATTCATTTTCAGCAGAAACTCTGCCACGTTTCTAAAATGCATGACTTCACTCTTGGCAGACAATAACTGGAGAGATTTTTCATCCTAAAGTTCAAAACCCCACTAGTCACTAAGTAGATTTTACCTGATTTAGAATCATTTATAGAAAGGATAATATGCCCGAATCCCATTAACCTTTCTTGGTCTTTTAATCAGTATTTTCCCTAGATAGAAGTTTAGCTGTTCTTATACAACCTTTTATGATAAAAATTTAACTATTTAGTATGTTAGTCTTATAATCTACAGAGTTGGTACT